CTCTGGGCTCTGATAAAAGGTACATTCGATGTCTCTAAATCTTTCAAAGAGGTGAGAATGGCTAAGCAATATTTCTGAATTACTTGTCTATGGCCAAAAATTGAGGTAAGGGAAGTTCAGGGGCTCTAATAATCTCTGGATCTCTTAATCAAGGGTGATGAAAGCTGAGTAATATCTCTGATTACTGTTCTGTAGCTAGCATCAGGTTTTGATGAGTGCTAAGTAATATCTCTAATTACTTCTCTGGTGCAAACATGAGGAGGGAAGAGGAAGACATGGGCCAGAAGAGCCTCTATTTATAGACAAATGGTTCTGCACTACATGGGATTTTGGCCTGAACACAAGTGCGTCTGAGAAGGGTACTTCTAGAGTGGTTTTTACTACTCTGAGATGGCCTAATCTGATATGAATTAATCTCTAAGTGCCTTTCTAATACAAGAGGTTGTAAATCTACTATATGAGGCCTATTCTTAGATTAATTAATATGAGAATGGTATTCTTAGACTAATTAGTATAAGAGTTATTTTCTGGAACTAGTCTGTGAAGCACTTTCTAATCAGTAGCTTGATTTACTTGTCTAAGATGAATGTATTATAGTTCTACAGGTTATTTGTATAATTTTTATTCATGAGAAATTGAATATCTTAAGCCTAATTTGTGAATTAATTAACTACAATTTAGCCCAGTAATATTTATGTGGTTTGTTTCCTAACCTACCCCCTTCCCTCTAGTATTTTAACTACTATGTATACGTAATAAGTGTTTTTAATTATGGGCTATGGGTTTGATCAATCTCACCACACCGGTCGACGAGGTACATGTACCTCGCCGGCTGGAAGAAACCCCTTCCAGTCGACGAGGTACATGTACCTCGTCAACTGGAAGGAAACCCTTCCAGCCGGTCCCTTGCCGGCCGTTTAAAGGGTGGGTATCCGAGGATACCCGCTCGGATACCCGCTGCGGCCGACGGATACCCGCCAGCGGGTGCGGGTGCGGATGCGGATGCCTGGATGGCCGGAAAAAGCAGCCGGATATCCGCATCCGCGCGGATATCCGGATGCAAATCGTCCATCTCTAGGCTGATGTCAAGAGGACCGCCCATAGCTGGTCCTCAGGGCGTCCTCAAAATTTGGGAGTTGGAACTCCAAATTTTGGGAGTCATTTAACTAATGCCCGAAAAAATAAAGATCATTCTCCCAAAAATTTGGAACACCCCAAGGGGGGGGGGGGCAAGTACTTGTTGCCTTCCAACAAGTACTTGCCTACAGGTGCGGGTGCAAGTGCAGGTGTCTGAGATCTGATAATTTTCACACAAGTACTTGTACTTGTTGCAGGTGCGCAGGTGCGCACCTTTACTTTAGATGGCACTTGATGTGCTTAGTTGTCCAGGTGTGTTTTTTATCTAAATTATTAATATTATGTTGGTTGATTTTTTACCAACTTTCCCGCACATTCTGAAGCAACCAATGTTGATGTGTAGCAATCCTTTAGCTTTGGTAGGGAATATGATTGTCTCAGGAGGCACAAGCTCAGTGCACAGTCTGTCACTAGGGGGATGAGTGTGGCATTTTCCTCAAAAAACGGTAAGATCAAGAGGAGCCTTTTGAGAAAATGGAAGACAAATAAGAAGAATGAGAAGAAATCTGGAAGAAAATGAAGGGCTTATTATTACTATTTACAATCACTTAGTTCACTTGTTCACAAATACAAATTTCTGAAATAAAAACACAAGAAATTTATCACCTTTATCTCTCAAAATAAGCTTGCATACTTGCAAGTACTTGCTTTGTCCTGCCCCGGCAAGTACAAGTACAAGTATGGGTGTCTGAGATTTGAGATTTTTCACGCAAGTACCTGTGCTTGATGAAATTTCTACCGGAGAGGCGGAGAATTTTCTGAGAAGAGAAAAAAATTTTGGGGCAACAAAAAGAATGATTTTGGTTGGAGTGGCTTGAGGGTTGGAAAATGAGAGAAAGAGCCAATGATTTTTATTTGCTTAGTATAGCCTACGCATTAAATAGACTACGTACAGTGGGTGGACTGTTATTTTTGGCTGCTTGTTTTGGATTCTACAGCTTTAAAGCACAAACTTCAAGTCACAAGACTTGGTGAATTGATGCCAAATAGGTCCCAGAAAATGAATATGAAGAAATAAAAACAAAAAACAAAGTTTCAAAATTTGTGGAAAATAAAAAATAAAAATCGGGTTTTCCAAAAGATTTGTTATTGATTTTGGGGGAGTGGGAGTGCTGAGAGAAAGAAAGAGTGGAACATGGCAAGAATGATTATAAATGAAAAAAATTGGAACCAAAAAAGGTTGAGCCAGGTTGGTTGTTCAGATTGGAGTCAAAACAGTAAATTCTAGTGCTTTTCCACAACACGTGCTGGTGAATGTGCTACTCAACAGTTGTTTGAAACCACCTGGTGACCATTTTTTACAAAATTTTCATTTATGATCATTCTTCCCATGTTCCATTCTTTCTTTCTTCCAGTGCTCCCACTCCCCCAAAATGAATATCAGAGCTTTTGGAAAAAATATTTTTATTTTTTATTTTTCACAGATTTTGAAACTTTATTTTTATTTTATTTTTTCATATTCATTTTTTGGGACCTATTCTGCACCAATTCACCAATTCTGTGACTTCAGTTTGTGCTTTGAAGCTCTGGAATCCGAAACAGTAGCCAAAAAAACGGTCCACCCACTG